TAATAGGTGGGATGCTGGATGGGGCGGCCCCAGGAGCGCTTCCGCGAAGGATCCCAGATCTCCCTGGCCGAGGGCGTTTCTCTGTTTCCACCTGCGCCACGATATGGCACAGCCCCTTCCGACTGGGCCTCAAAAGTTGCGCCATGGTGTGACGTGGCCGGTGCCAAAACCGAAGGAGCCAGCTGCGGCGTGCAACGATAGACGTTTTATGAACACACACACTCCTCCATCCTTCGCCTGGGCATCACTCTCGCCATGCTTGTTCAACCGCGTGTTTTATCTGCGTCATGGGCCTTTGGCACTGGCGGCCTCGCGTCTCTGCTTCAAAATCAATATCCGTGCGCCTGACCCAGATGTGGACGTTTAGACTTCGGCCTGCTCGTAGCGCGCATTTTCCCATCAAACTGGCATGTTCACTGAGGCCTGCAGTGAGCAGGGCTTGACGAACTATTGCCTGCGGGACTGGCAAACTGACTGACTGACTGACTGACTGACAGGCAGGTGGACTGACGGGCAGGCGAACAGACTGGTAGGCAAGCCGACCAGCTGGCGAATAAGCAGGCAGCAGGCCGCAGGCCAGCATGAGTCATTGCGTGTTCACCTCAGCCCTTCATCTTCGTTTGCCCGTCCTCTCTTTGACCTTGGCCTTGTCCTGGGCCTCTTGATGCGACCGCCTCATTTCACTCGCCGACCCTTAAGGCCAGCCCTGCTTCTTGCGTCGGCCTTCGTCCGGCGCGATCGTAACGCCTTTGACACATACTGTGCCAACAGTTTTAGTCTACTCCCCTGCGCTATCTTGTCCGGTTAGGTGGGGCTGGCGAATTCCTCATAGCCCGGCATAGCGAAATGGCGACTCCTTTTCTTTTTCTCTATCCATCTATCTGTGTCTTCTCTCAGCTTTCGGACCATCCCGAGGACGGACCACTTAATTCGTCGCCTCTTCTCTCTTCGCCAGTCTCGCGTCCCTCTTTGGGTGTCTTGCCATTGCGAGTATTATGCTCGTGTGTGTGTGTGTGT